CCTCCAGGCGGAGTTTGAACGCGAGCGGCAGAAGTTGCGCGAGCAGCTCGCTAAGGACCGCGCCGAAAAGATCGCCGCCGGCGCGCGGGTCGAGAAGGCGGCGGCCTTTCCTGGACATGTCCGCGACACGTCCCGGACATGTCCCACAGGCACGCTCGTCGAGAAGAAGGAGGTCGCACCCGCGCCCGCGCCCGCGCCCGCGCCCGCGCCGTCGCGCAAGAAGGACACCGAGGCGGCGGCGGCGGCGGCGGCGGCGGCGGCGGCAGGCGGCGGGAGGACGTACGAGGAGGAGGCGCTCAGTGTCGAGGAGAAGTCCGCCAGATGCGGAGACCTCTCCTCACACAACAAGCACAGCCCCCGGGGCCCAGATCGGTCGCACGAGACAGCCGAGAGAATGGACAGGCAGACAGAGGTCGGCCAGTCAAGACTGGCAACTCGCTCTCCCACACCGCTCCCACGCATAGAGCTCGGAAGCGCCAGGGGAGACCAACCGGGCGGCGGCGCGACACACACTGGCACACACCGACCGACAGTGCAAATTCCCCCCCCCCTCTCCCAGACACACACTGGCACACACCGACCGACAGTGCAACGCCGAGTCCGACCCTCTCCTCACACAAAGACACAGCCCCGGGCCAAAGATCACGCGCACGAGGTAGTCGAGACCGCTCCTCGCTGCGCACTCCTCTGTGCGATCCTCCGACCAGCCCAGCTGGACCGGCGTGAAGAGGGTGGCGCTGCGTGAGAGCGGCATGCACAACACCGCCCGCACTCACGCGCTGACGCTGCTGCACTCACCTCCTGCGCCCACACCGCAGGACGCGACGGCCAAGCTGGCCGCGCTGAGCGACACGCGAGTACGGCCGGCGCTCGCCCCTAGTCCCATACCTCCAGAGTATCGAACCCAGTGTGGGTTCAGTCCCATGGGTGGTGCGGTAGCCGATCGACGGCCGGCGCTCGAACCTAGCTGGGGAGGAGGCACTCTGGCAAACCGCCTAGCGCCCGAGAGCGGAAAAGCGCGTCTACTCACGCCCGACGGCGGTGTGCTCACACACCAGGCGCTCGACCTGATGGGAAAGATGATGGCGAACGTCTCAAAGGCGCGCCCGCCGCCGCCCTCGCCACCGCCGCCCTCGTCGCCGCCACTTTCACCCTCCTCCCTCGCCGCCGCCGCCCTCGCCACCGCCGCCCTCGTCGCCGCCACTTTCACCCTCCTCCCTCGCCGCCGCCGCCTCCTCCCCCGCCCTCTCCTCCCCCGCCCCCTCCTCCCCCCCCCCGCCCATTGTCGCGTCTCCCGGCGCATGCCTCTGCCTTGCCCTGCCTCACGCGTGCCTCTTGGCTCAGGCTCCGGCGGAGCCAAAGTACCGCCGGATGCGCCTCTC